ACCCTTTTGTCATCCTACTAGGTTAGACTTTACCCCTCAGTTAAGCTTATCTTCTCTGGATTTAGCTGCTTAGCCCCAGCATGAACCTCATTGTGTGATGTCTGCCTGAGGCTCTCATCTCACTTTCTGCTTATTTCTGTGTTTAGACTAGATGGCAAACCTGTCATATGTTTCTCTCATGTTGCTGTTTTACATACCTCATATGTTACTTCCAAGTGATTAATGAAAAGGGAACTAAAAAAGGCGTAAGTGCATTCTTGCTGTACACTCACTGGATCTGCACTTTGCCAGCTGCAAGGGTACTTTCTACACGGTTCCTCAGACAGATCCTATCTTCTGTGCCAGAGAAATTGCAAATTTGAGTTAAGCATAGGATTCTGTGACATGTTTGATCACAATCCAGCCATCTCAGCTCCCATTTCTTTTCACAGTCCATTTGCTTAAGTGCACTATAGAAGTTTGAGGGGGGAGAGAAAAGCAGATTTTTTTTTCTTTCAAATGTATTTCTCTTAAACCTTCCATTACTGTCTTTTGCATTTGTTTCTGTGTGGAAAAAAACTGAAAAGCTTCTAACTTGAGTTTATATGACTTTAATTCTGAATATATCTCAGTATGCCTTGTAGCTTTACTTTCTGTTCTTCAAACTGAGTAGCCATTCAGTAAACAGATACTAGCAGTACTTTGACTGTTGTTCCTCTAAAGCAGGCAATTCACATTTTAATTTCTCTGCATTCTGTTTCCTGTATGAATTTGCTACTGGACTTTTCCTGAGCTGAACACTGTCCTCCATATTAGGTGCAATTCTTCAAGTTAGCTAGATACGTTTCTATACATATCTATACCTGGTTTTACTACACAGCACAAGATGCTTGCACTAGCAGCACACTAAAAAGGCTGGGATGGGAGCAAATGCTCATTTGAAAGTCCAGTGCTTGAACTAGTAATAGGTTTGAGTGAGACTCTACCTCCTTTAGCCATCACACTGATCCCAGCAGTGTCCACAGCAGTGTCTTGTTTGTCTTACAATGAGGCGGCACTGGGACTTGGTGGCATCCAGCAAGCTGAGAGAAGGAGCTCAAGGCACAGGAAACTGAGTCTGAGAGTTTTCTGCTACTGCACAGCCGTGATTTGGCAGAGGTGATGTTTGTGTGTGCCTGAGTGCACGTGCACAGGGTTGTCCAGTGGCAGGGGGGACAGACAAGAACAGCCTGTGGCTCACCATCAGGACCAGTTTAAGCTTGTCTCCCACAAACACAGCATTAAAAAGTTTTGCATCATATCTTAAGACCCTAACCCTAATGCTCAGGCATGGCTTTTATGTGTAAATTTTAATTATTGGTTTCCAGTGTTGATTAAATTTTTATGAGAGCTGTGCCCAGATATCTGCTTATGTGGCCATGAACAACTTAGTGCTTGCTGTGGCTGTATTTTTAATAGTGTGTTTTTAATTATATGCTTCCTGGGTTTAGACTAATTTGGCAAAGAGGGATCTCTGCTTGCTCAGCTGGTTATTGCTGGTCTTGTACTCTTTGGCCACAAAACACACATTTCTGTACAGTATTTGCATAACTGGGCAGAAGGTGGATGTTATTTGTATGGACTCTGTCTCTCTGTTTCTGCCTGTACTAATTGTTTTTGTCCATAGGCTTAGAAAACTAGAATGTTTTTAGTCTCAAATAATTTGGCAACCAAAATGTTACTTTGTTGAGGCAAATCTTTCTTGTTCAGTAGTTCATCTCCATGTGTTTTCTCCTTTATTCGGCTTATGGCCAAGTCACTTAGCCTTGTCATAGTTACCTAATGCCCCACTTGTTGTCTTACCAACCTTAAGTTTTCCCTATTTTTTCAATTCTTTATATTGATGCATTTAAAAACAAGACTCTGCTTTCACCCTTGTTCCATGTGAAAAGAAGAGTTCAGTTTTTTGCCAGATGTGAGTTTCTGTCTGGATGGGAAGGCCTCACAGCTGATACAAATTCTGGGGATATTTTAAGTTCAGAAAAAAATTCTTTTTCCCTGTAGATAATCAAGTCTGTGCTATTTGGATAGGATGGGAGATGCAGGTTTTAGAGTGACAGATCAGTGTGATTTTGCTGGACAAAGGTTTCAAGTTTAAACTTTGAGGGGGTGTACTCGGATAGCATGAGAGGGCACAAGCTTAAAGTTCCCTCGACAAAGGTAGGCTTAGTATTATATTACTGCACATTTTGCACCTATTAATGTGCATCAGGTCAGTAAAAATTTTATTGATAAAATGGGAATGGAAACAACTTCAGCCTTTGCAAGCCATCTTTGCACTGTGTTTTTTGTCCCATCCTGGCTCCTTATGCATTTTCATGTATGGATCAAGGTGAGAAAATGGTGGAGATGAATGCTGCTTCTGTTCCATGGATGTAGTAGTGTCTACAAAGAGCAGCAGTTGCATCCACCTTTCAGCCCCCGCCCCCCTTTCTGAGAGCAATCCTGCTCCTCACAGTAACTCAGGGACAGCTAAAGGCAATAGGAATGGAGAGCTACCTGTGTGTGCATGTGTTGGCACACAGGTGTTCTCTTGCAGTCTCAAGTGATGAGCCTCAAGAAGCTTTCCAGGTTAGCCAGGGTTTCACTGCAAGCTCCCCAAGCCTCTCCATGTGCATCATTTTTGTTCCAGCTCACAATCTGTCTGTCATGACTCACACACTCACTGGCTTCGATTTAGACTCCCATCTGCTTTCTCAGCCAGTCACATCCCAGTTCTTCTGTAACACACTGTAGGAGAAGTGTGGGACTGGAGCAGAACATGTATCTGTATTCAGGAGAGAGGAGGGGGAGGTGTACTAAGAAGTTTGTCTTATCTGTCTCAGTGGAAGCATGTGGTTAAGCTGTAAAATATAAGTATGCACAGTAACGCTGGGGATGACTTGGAGAAACTCATCCTTCTTGAGTGTGCTTGGACCCTCAGAACAGATTTGATCTCAGTGTTGTCACTCACTGATTATTTATGCTTTTGTAAACGGAATGTCCTTTCTCCTTTGCTTATATAAGGGACTATCACAATTCCCTGAGAAAAAAAAAAAAGAAAAAAAAAAGTTGTTTTGCCTCTTCCCTGCAGGCAGCAGAAGGTGACGCAAAGGTAGCGAGGAGGCTGTGCTGATGCCTGGCAGACACAAACGTGCCCCTCTGGTGGAGGCAAGCAGCTGTTGTGTGCAGGAGACTTGCCCTCAGATCACCACTGTCTCTTCACAAGGACAGAGCATCATTAAGGCAGGGAAAGGCTGTCCCCGGTTACTTTATAAAGAGTGATCTTGTGCCAAAAACAGAACAGACCTGGTGGGCTCTGAATTCCAGACAGCAAAAATTAATTTCTCTCTCTTCAAGAGACTAGCTGGGAAGATTTCCTTCTACTGTAAGCTTGTCACAGACTCTCCCACCCATAAGCATCATCAGAGAGGAATTGGTGCAAGGTCAGTCCTTGGAATTAAAGTCAGGAGGGAATTTTCCTTTGGTGACTGGGTTAGAGGTAATAACATTTTTGACTTGCTCCTGAGACAGCGTATGGAAAATCACACGTTAAAGTAGAACTGGTCACTCTAAGTTAGATAATGCTTTACAAATATCAGGAAGGGGAATGAGAATACCCCCAAGAACATATTTTCAGAGCCTCAATTTCTTTTCTGTTGCTGGTAAGTGGAAACACATCTAATAGGCTGCTTGGGACTGCATCTAAGTGCTGTGAGACTCCAAAAATATGGTAGAAAGAGATGTAGACTGTTAGAAGAAGCTGCAGAATACATAGAATTTGGTTTTGCCTGTTTACTGAGAAAACCTCACAAGAGCAGTGAATTAAAGCAGCATCTTACCTTTGGATGCCAAGGTTTTGCATGCATAACACGAACTGACAAGACATCTTTTTGCAAGATGCAGATCTGCTCCAGATTTAGAACTGGAATAGACAGGGATGCTGCAGACAAGGGTTGAGGTCTCTGCTGTTAGTCACAACAGAGACAAGCTGGCAAAAGTGAGAGCTGGAATTCTCAGATCTGAGGTATGCAGAAATATGTGGAAAGTAGGCAGGGCAGAATTACCAGGAAAGAGAGCAGGAGTTTTCAGAAAGAAACCTGTTTTCAAAATGTAGAAAATGTGTCTTCCCTCTGCTGTATTTCTTGGCAGCCTGCTAACACTCCATAATTATTTTTTTTCTTGAGTTCTTATATTTTAAGACTATAACTGTGGAAAATTGTGAACAATGATTCAGAGAGACAAACAAAGTTATTTGAAATATAGGTACATATATGCTGTTTTACTCCTCTTCACCCAGCACTAAGGATGCCCTCACTTAAGATTTTCCCATTCTCTTTTAAAATTCCAGAGATGATGGGAAAACAACCTTTTCTCCCCTCCAGTGTTTTCTAAAGCCTTGACTGAATTCAAGGCATGAGACATATACCAGATACTTTCCTCCCATCTGTTTTTAGGGCATGGCTCAGCTATAGGACAGAGGAGAAGCTCCTAACTGCATCCCCATCCAGGAAAATCCCAGAGTAAAAATTGAGAAAGAATAAAAATATTCTACGTGGGAATGTTTGGGGGGGGGTGCAAGAAAAGAGCCAGTGAAAAGGAGCTGCAGCAACATGGACAGGGTGGCAGTCAGAAGCAGCAGTATGCTTCCAGGCTGGAGGTCTGGCTGTGTTACTCTGCTGCATGCAGGCCTCGTGTGACTGGAGGGACAGCACCTGTGGCGAGTGAGAACCTATCCTTCTCCACCTTCCACATGGCAGATTGACCCAGAACATCCTGACTGTGTCCTGCAGTATCCGTGTCCTGTTACAGTGTGCTCTGTGTGACACAAGCCTGAGCATTGTAAGCCTGCATTCAGGCGCCTTGCAGTCCACCTCTGACACTTGGACGTGCCTGAATAGTCCAGCAGCCTAACAGTCTGCACAGAGGGAAAGCAGCAGAAGAAAGGGTCAGTCGGATGTCCCTCCTCCCAGCTGAATCCTTCCTCTGTGGGGATTGCAAAGAATATCCAAAAGCTTCTCTTGGAGGAGCAAATACAAGAAGACTGGCTCACTGAAGGGTGTGATGGACTGCTACCCTCACACCAGCTATAAGGCAACATCCTCATCCTCATCTTCATCTTCATCCAGGTCAGTGGTGCGTAGGTTTATGTCCTTGAGGATATCTGAGATGTTTTCAGCAACTGGCCCTGTCAGCTCCATCTCTTCCAGCTCAGTATCCGTGGCACAAGCGGAGCTGGGGACTTCCCCCTCTTCCTGTGAGTGTGAGGGCTGTGGGGAGTGTGAGCAGGGAGGCAGAGGGCTCTCAGTGCCCAGGTTTGCTGCTTGCTGTGCTGCCGCCGTGCCGTTGTCCTCCCGGCTCCACGCCTCAGTGCCCTGCCCCACCTCAGTGTTGGCTGAGGTCCTGATGTCACGGAAACTGGCGAGGGGTGGTCGGAGACGGACCCCAGAACGGGTGGAACCCTCTATTGCCTTCTGGAGCTACAAAAAGAGAAAACATTTCAGAAAAAAACATGAAAAGGAGGCTGGCCCAGCACTACCCAGCAGAAGTTAATCTACTCCCCAGGGTAAAGGGATCATAAATAGAATCACAGCTCTACTTCTGGGGCCTGTGGAGATAATCTTTCACACTGGTGATGTAATGAAAAATTCCATGGTAAACAACAAATTCTACACGTCTTTCAGAAACAGTCAGTTAAGAGTGGCTATTAAACCTCAGTTAGGAGTCCTACACTCATGAAAAAGATGAACCTTCTAACATCCCTGTAAACAACACTTGCTGCCTCCTCTGAAATGCAGTCTTCCATTCCTTTACGTACTTGCAAAGAGCTGACTCAGAATTCAACACTGGATTGGAAATGTAGCACTTGCAGTTATATACATTCCCAGCTGGAACTTGCAGCACCTGTGAGTTACTGCAGTGATCCACGGGACACTTGCAGTTATTTAAGAGGGTGGCAGAGGATTTGTACTCACCTCTTCCAAAGCCAACACTCCCCTCAGCTTCCCCATGCTGGTTACATAGGCATGGCTGAGGCCCAGCAGTGAGAACAACGTGTGTGTCTAGGAGCAGAACCACAAGAGACCATTTCAGGGACTTTGGAAATGGGTAACACAGAACATGGTTCTAGAGCTGGGACTCAGGATTTAGAAATGGAAATCACAAAGACACGAAACTGTGCATTTATTCCAGTGAGAAATTACGTCCTCCCTTCTTCCCTTTTTGTATCTGCCAAATACTACTCTTCACTCCTTCTGCTCTGCAGCTGTAGTTGGGACTGTGCTGATGATGGAGAGCACATTCTCAAGGTCATTCTCATCCTGCATCTGATGGAGATTCACCTACAGTACCCTGTGTTGTGCATTTGGAGACCTGTGCAGATTCTGTTTCCTTTTGGTGCTGGAAACTAAACTACCATACCGTAATATGTAAAGGCAAAAACTGCTTAGGTTATTTATTCCAGTGCTTTCCTTAACAATAGAGGATTTCTTTTTTCCTGTCCCAGAATATTTTCTGTGAAAGCTTAAGCTTGTTGCTGCTTATTCTGTGCAGTGAGAACACTGAGAACAAGTTATTCCCTTTCTCTTACAAAGTCTCCTTGAAAGGACAGATATCACACTGCTATTAGTCTTCTTTTCTTCAGCTTAAATATACACCATTATTTTACTATTATTCACAGATCTGGGTTTCCAAAACTTTCCACATTCTCAGTGCTCGCTCATCTTTGGTACATTTAAAGCTGAGTTCTGGCTGGACTTTACCTGTGTCCTTACATGAAATCATTCTGCCACAGCGAGTGTTTGACCTTTTTTTTTTTAGCATTATATGAGATACTGAATGTCATGTTCAAGTGTAAACTAGGAAAAATCTGATTTCTCAAGAACAAGACATTTTACTCTAATGTAAAAGAAAACCAGATTGGTTAAATATTGTTTGGTCATGATAAACTGTGATATTCTTTTCATTGTCAGTAGCTCACATTTAGCTGTAACTGTGCATACTTTATATATTTTGATTATTTCATGCATCCAAGTTAAGTTGATTCAACTGTTATTTCAGAGTTTCTCACTTGCTCTTTTGTATGACAGGTATGAAACTTACCCATGATCAGCCTTCAGGTATGATTTTTGGTAAGCCTATATTCTCAAAGATAATACTAGTGGTTTTCAGATGACTTCACCCCCCCCTTCAGAAAACTCATCCGAACTATATACTAGCTCATTCTTCTTTTGTTCAAGACTGAGATCTTAACAGTAATTAATTAATTAATTTAGTACAAGGCCTATGCTGACTAATCACATAACATGAGTATTGATAAAAGCATGCACTGAGCACTTTTGTTCAGTAGACTGCTTTCCCTTTCCACTGAGTGGAAGCCCAGTTCTATCTTCCTCCTGACATACAATGATTGCTTTAATTCCCAGTCATCCTGTGCTGACTGTAGGTGTTGCATGATCCAGCTTCCTCTTTCCTTGTGCTTCAGTTCAGTGAAGAGCCTGACACAGGCAGACTCCACACCTTGACAGAAACACCCTGAGCAATCCAGGAGTGCTCATTCCAGTGCTGCACACCGACAGGGCAGAGTGCAAATCTGTGTAAAGCCCCAGCAGCAAGGCACACAATGCTCCTGTTAATGTAGCAGATTTTTTTTCCCAAAAGCTTTTTTAATAAATGGACTCAGACTTCTTATCACAAAGCTATTTGTTTAGCAGGAGATTGGAGGTATACACAGGAGATTACAGGAACAAGCTCACTTCTGTAGCTTGATGTGAAAGTGGGTGGTGATAGTAGTTATAGGTGAAGACAAGGAGAAGAAATAAGTCATAGACTGGACTTGGAATGAGTGGAGAAAAAGGATGTATGCCTCAGGGAGACACCTGCACTTACCTTGTGCAGGGAAGTTCTCTCCACCAGTTGGAAAGGGGAGGGATCTACGCGGCAGCTGTCAAAGCACACATTCTTGTTCAGCTCCTCCTGTTCCCAAGCATCTATCTGACACAGGAAAGAAGAGGAATCACTCTTACAGCTACCTGCAGCATGGCTGTCTTGTGTACCCAAACTAGTCCCCTCCTCCTGTTAATGCTTCTTCCTCCTATGTTCATCATTCATCTTTTCCATTATATCTCACCCCTCAGGTTTCCCATCCCTTTCTTGCCAGATGTCAAGTCCTTGTGGAAACAGGGCAATCCAAGATTTTCTGAGACGATGGGGTTTTGGTTTTTCCTTCTTAAAGAGGGAGTGAACATCTTTAGTTTTCCTTTCTGAGTGCATCTTCCCCTTGTCATTACAAGATAATTGATCCGTTGTATAAGAAATAAAGGAACAACATGGTCCACAGATAGATTTAGATGGGGGGCACCTGTGGATGCCTCTAATCCAAAACCCTGCTGCATCAGGGCTGACTTCAAAGCTAGATCAGCTTAGTCAAGAGTCATCAGCACATCTAGCCAGTCTCTTCTCTTATGGGTGAGACTTGCCCACTGTGCTACTCCAAGAAGAAAATTACTTTGGTTATGGGTTTATGTGGCAATCACTGATGTTCCTGGAGTATTTCAAGTGATAGGAAATGGGTAAAAGAAGCACTCTCATGACCTCACTCCATTTTTGCACCTGGTCTTACCTCTTCTGGTGTCATTGTCTCAATGAATTCCCCTGGCTCCTGTAGGAGAAAACACTGTTCAGGACAGCCGAAGAACCCACAGTTTCACGGAGTACAGAAAGGGAAAATCTGCACAGCCTCCTCACTCCATGTGGTCCCCTTTTTGTTCCAAATAATGTACTACCAAGTGCTTAGATTTTCTTTATCCTCATCCATTATACGATGTACTCTGCCCTTGCTGTGCTTCCCTTGCCAATGACAACTCACCACGGAGTGCCAGTGGAGCCATTCAGGTGCCTAAACATGGCCATCTAATACTGACTTAGATACCTCAGGATATCTCTCAGGATGTCCCACATAGGGTCCAACCACTGCCTTGGAGGGGATGGGTCTCCCATAAGCTCTGTCTGTTATCCCCAAACCCTGTGCAGATGTGTCAGATAAACAAGGGCATTTGACATGGCAAGAGCCAAAAGCATTTTTTTTTCATTTTTCTCCATCTGTCCAAAACTGTTTGCCAAATGGAATAGAACTGCACTTTATTGCAGGTTAGCCAAAATATTATTTTTTTTCACTGAGAAAAGATGCCCAAACTTAATCATGATGGTAGCCTGACACCTGAGCACAGCTTCAGGAAGATGCACATTCCATTACAGTAATCACACCCTTTCTCCTTGGAGGGAGTTCCCCACTGACACTGTCAGAGTACAGGACCATAATTGTGTCCATGCTTTAGCCACATGTTGAATGTCTTGAGTAGTAGTTTCTAGTTCCATTGCATTCCCTTCCTTCTTCAGGGTACTACCAGGCTCTCTGTAGCCCTAACCTGGATGGTGCTCTCTGTTTCATGTGGACGGCTGCAATGGCACAAGAGCTGCTGGATCAGTTGCCTCAGATGCCTGAATCTGCCTGAAGGATGAGAACAAACATGTGGATAAGAGAGAAGAACAAGTGAGAGACAAAACTACAAAGCCCCACACCTATTGCATCCTCTTACCAAGGCAGGCTGGGAAATGCTGTGAGGGACACGATAGAGCTGAGCCAGTCACAATCTGGCATTCAGTTTGTAAGATGGTGTCTGAGACATTCCAGAATGAATATTCCCATGCAACAAAACATATCAATAAACTGGATGTGACAGGTGCCAAGGGGTGAGGAGTCCATGGGTTCTGCCAGCAGTGGAATGATGGGAATAGAAAAGACCAGAATTATACTCCCAGGCAGGGAGTTAGCAAAGTGAAAGAGGCAGGGCCTGGTGCTGTTGTGAACAAGGCTGTGGAGGAAGTTTGGTCAGAAACAATGATAGCCATGAGCTGTACTAAAGAAAGGAAGGTCTCATGAATTCACTCCTGTTCCACTTCCTCGTGTCCTTCCTGGGTCACTCAGTTCTACATAAAATGTTTCACACGGTCCTTGTTTTCATATGTGGTTTTTTTCTGCTTTGGTAAGATAGGTGGGTGGCTGCCCTACCACTTCACTGCTCTGGAAGCATAAAGTGGATTTTTCTATGGCTTAGAGGTTTAGTCATACATGAGGGGTGTTAATGAACATGTTAATTACATGTAACATTTGGGTGTCTGAAACCGCAAGCTAAAGCCCTCTGTACTCATTCTCAAGACTGGGCTACATCTCTGTGCTTACTCACTCTCTGCATATTTCAGGACGCATAAAGGATAAAAACAACCCACCATCCTGCATCAAATATACATGATAAATGAATCAGAAATGAGCTATGAGCTATGAAAGCAAAGCTAATGCAGGCTGGAGTGTGACACAAAAGAACACAATACATCAGTGTTTGTCCATCACATTAATGCACCTGAATCAAAGAAATGTGTGTCCAAGGGAGGAGCCTTTCAGTTTTGGAGGTGACTGAGCAACAGCCTAATCTACTCAAAAACTTAGTGCAGATGTTTAGCTTTCAGGCTCCCCAAGGGGCTTCATCCACGTGGTGGAGGAGCCAAGAGACAGGACCATTCCATGCAGACTCTATAGAAAAGGAGTTGTTCTTGCAAAGAATGAAGTGGGGAGACAGATGAGAGTCCATCCTTAGTGAACCTACTTATGCTGTGCTCTCTGAGGGATCATTACAGAAGGTATTTTCAGGTACATTACACTGATGTTGAGGTGCACTAACAAAGTGTCTTTCATTCAGGAATAGCAGACAAAACTCCTTCTCTCAGTCTCTGGGAAAGCGGCACCTCACACAGGCAGGTACACACAGTTAGCATGAAAGTTTCCCCAAGTTGGCTAGGATGTGGTTGTGCCATGACAGAAGTTACCGTACCTGAGCGTTGCTGGGGCTCCAAGGTTTCAGGCATTTGTTTAAGAGGACTTGTTGGGCCATTGGGCTCCTCTGGATAACTGGGAGTAGGACTTGGAGGCCGAGGCAGCTGTTATGGAGAGAAAATAAAGTCCACCTTATGCCATTTATTTCTCGGCCTCCTCAAATGCCTGACTGCTTCTAAGCAGCCTCTATGTTGCAGTCTGTCCACTTCTCTCCCTCACCTCTCCTTTCTCCTCTGTATCCTCATCCTCATCGACATAAGCAAAAGAATCATGCTTCATCTTTGGCAGGTTTGCCCAGGGTCCATTGTAGGGTGCCTCATTCAGCTTCTGCTGCATTTCTCTGTTGAGGAGCCGCCGCCGCTCTGGGCTGATGTGTGTCTGGAGCAGAGCCTGAAGTTCCGAACGCTCCACAGACCCCAGGAGGATCATGGTCTCTGCACAACACAGAGCAGGGAAGCCTTTAAGCCACCTCAAGGTTTTACATGTCCCCTTGCACACATCACCCCTTCCTCCTTCCAGCCTCTTCCAAGTGCTCAGGCTCGTCCTAGCTAGAGCTGTAGGCTGTGGGGCTGTGGGAAGGGACCTCGCCCTCCTGAGCTGTGCCACCCCATGCATGCTCTTGGCTCATGCAGGATCCCAGGAGGTCCCTGTTTTCATGGTTCAGTCTACAGGCTTCCCACACACCTCCCTTACATACTGGATCTGCTTCACTGCCCACACTCCAGCTTACCTGTCTGGCCAGTTGAAACAGCCATCTGCCATACATCATCCACAGTGGGAGATTTTTAGGATTTATCGTTTTATGTGGTAGGTCACACTGCCTGCTTCACACCATGTAATTTGAAAGCTAGTTTCTCCAAGCTGAGACAGTCTTCAGGAAGGACCAGTTTCTCCACATTGCTTACCTGGTGAGTCCACCAAAGGCAAAGATTTCACTGTGGTGCTTTGGAGTACCGCTTGCAAGTCTCGGTATTTACAGTTGGAGGAAACAAATTTCACATCTTGGACCATAATGTCCTCAACAAAGATATTGTATTTGCTGTGAATTTATGGATGATAGGAAGAAGAGTTAGCGTATTAAAAATGTAAAGCACATAAATTCCCTAAAGAAATAGATAAATGGCCACTTTAAAAAAAGTACTCAAAATACAGCTGCCAAATGATCTTCTGTGAGAGTAACCAGAGGACTTTCTAAGAGGATAAACACAGATTAAGTGGATTTCCATTAAAGTTGTATTCCACACTGTTACCCCTCACTATAAAAGACACACATGTAAAAGACACATATGTATAGATGATTTTTGTATACATGCATACGTGTATGATATATACTAGAGAGAGAAAGACATTTATAGGAATAACTGAGTTTTGCTTCAAGCAAAATATCCAAGTACAATATTTCAAACATTTGCTGGGGAAAAATATCTAAACCCCACTGAATTTAGAGAAATGAGACTCCTGATTTTTAAATCTTTAAGCTGAAGCAATTTGGAAATATTAATACAAATTCAGTTAACATTGCAGGTCATTCAAACTTGTGCTTTCAGTGAAAAAAGGAAGAGGACTTCTCTCCGCTTTTGTGTATGAAACCTAATTCTACTCCAACACTTGTTTTTTTCTTACTGCAGGCCTATTCTGCCTTCTTAATTCCTTTCCAGTACTGAACCCTTTTCATAAGCTTTTATTCCCCTGTGGTCTTAACCCTCTCCCGTTTTATTTCTTTGCCACTCCCTGTTCCCACCTGTTTTGCTACTATACCTTATGTGATTCCAGCCCAGGTCTGGCAGGTAGGGCAACTTCTTCACCTGGATGATGCTGTCGTAGAGGCTGGGCTGCAAACTCTGGGCTACCATGTTGGCAAGAATGACAGCCACCATCATGGGCAGGATGTGGGAGATCTGACCCGTCAGCTCGAAGCAGATCACAGCGGTGGAGACAGTATGGCTCACTGCTCCTGTCAAAGCTGCTGCACCTTTCCCAGGTAGGAAAGGAGTAGGGAGAAAAGAAGACTGTCATATAGAAACAGTATGTCATGTCAACCAGGAAAATTACAGCAGTGGGACCAGGTGAGGAAAAAGGAAGACATGGAGGCTCACCAATGACAGCATACCCTCCAGGTAAGATTTGATAAAGAATGTCATCAAAGAGGATCCCGTTGGGGAAAAGCGATGCCATGATTTCCCCAATGAGACGTCCAAATGCAGCACCTGAAAAATATCACTGACAGTTATCTATGAAATGAACATTTAAGGAACATCCAGTCTGCGCTGTGCAGCTGTGCTGGGCAATCACTTGGGTGTTTTCTAACAGAAACGAAGCCAAAAGTTACATTAAAATTACACTGGGAACTAAAGAGTAGTTCTCAGTTACAAAATACAGAAGTTAAGACTCCAAGAGGAAAAAAGGGTACTAAGATTGGTAAATACAGTTGAGCCCTCGTTCATTCATTTGGGCACACCAGGCACAGGAGTAGCTGTGATTCCCAGGCTGGAGGACATATTTTCAGACTGTACAATGTCAGTCCAGATCACAGTGGAGGCCCTTTAGACTCTCATTCTGTGATTGTCTAAACAGTAGAATCACAGTTTAGAAAAGAAAAGTATTTGTGGGAAGGGACTTCTGGAGATCTTGTTCTGACCCCTGCTCAGACAAGGGCTAATCTCAGAGTGAGATGGAGTCACCCACGTGACTCCAAGTCACAAGTCTGCAAGGATCTCTTGGATTGGTGGGCACAAAATAGCACAGTGTTCCAGAATTGTATCCAAATTGGTGAATGCCTGGAAACAAACAATTTCTTTGCATTGCTGTCTAGGTCTTTTCCTAATACAGCCTTGATGTTGGTTAGCCTTCATCACTGCAAGGGCATGGTACTGCCTCATGTTCAGTTGCTGCCTGCCTGAACTCAGATGTTCTTAGAGCATGGTATTTCATTTGAGACTTGTGGGTACTTAATGCTGAACATCATGAGCTTGTGTAGTTCAGTCTAACACAGCCTCTCTTTCTGAACATTAGCATCATATTATTATTTTTTTTTTGTTATTGGTATTAAAACCAGTTAAAAGTCAATAAACTTTTTATGTTATCACATTTCAGTCAGAAGAAAGGAGTAAGTGGTAGATTGCATTTCAGGTACTAGTTTTGAGGTTATCTTTTCTGTCTGGCTTTCAGGGGTGAAAGGAGCAACTACTATTAATTGCAGGATGGAAGTTTCTCTGTAAGTGAAAAGGCACAGAGATTAGAAGGCCATGTCTCAGCATGTTTCTCCAGGTGTGGTTTTCCTTATGTAAAAGGGTAAGGATTACCTACTTGGCATCTGGTTTCAGGGGGTTGAGGAAATGTCAAAACCAGAGACCCAGAGAGTGGTCTATGGGCTGCAAATCAGGTTGTCTTAGGCATCAAGTCATGACTCCTCATATACCAGATGAACCCTGCTGGGTGTGTAGGCAGTGTCTCTCCTATTCTCTCCACCTGTCAGATGAATATGCTGCAAAACAAAATTGAAACTCACCTAATACGAAAACAGGCATGAAGCCTCCACAGGGGATTGGCATCGTGGTGGCAATAACAGCCATGCAGAACTAGAACAGAGGCAGAGGGTGCAGTTGTTATTGAGCAGCAGTAGCATTTCCTGCTGCCCCACTCTGTGCCCAGCCTGGCAACAGAGGCCAGAAAGCTGCTGAGATGTAGTACTGCTAACCAAGCTCTGTCTTTGCAGTACCAAACCTGGCCAAATACAGCTGAAAACTGACTATACTGCAATGGAGAGTCAGGCCAGGCCTTTGCCCAGAGTCAAAATAGCAGTTTCTTGTTTACGTGGTCTACCACAATGCTGACTAGATCTAGAAGAAAATCAAGAGCAGTTTTCTAGTGAGTAGAGAAAGCCTTTAGTTAGTAGGACAATGCCAATGAATCTTGTGACTGAGCACAGCTCTTCCAAAGGCAAACAGGTGGACTCAGGACAGACACACCCTGTAGTTCACTCATCTTTTCCACTCCTCTTTTCTTCAAGTAAACAAGACCTTTTCTGCTTGGTACACTGTAATAAGAATTATCACAGAAGGAAAACCCTTAACTACCTGTCCGAAATTTGATAGTGTTTTACTTTAGGTGGAAACAGTCATCCAGTCATTGATAGCTGTTCTTGATCTACTGAAATTTCAACTGACATTGCAAGGTGGCCTCAGCTCTTCTACCCCTTTGCAATAAGTAAATAATAAAAGAATTAGCACCTATTCTATGATATTTTTATCTTTTTATATTTGTATATATATACACACATATATATATTAGGAAAATCTTCTTCTTGCTACTTTTATTTTGAACATTGGAATATGATGTTTTCTTCTTTCAAATGTCTTTTTTTTTCTCTGTCCTGTGACAATTACACGGGATCAGAAGCTGAACAGTTGCAACTTCCACAGACTGTGTCAGCTCAGAATTTTTAATCTGCTGTTGCTTTCTGAGAAGTGAGCAAAAAACAATTCCCAGCGTCATTTCTCCATCAAGTTTTGATGGACTGCTAACAAATCCTTGAGCCTCACACAGCTATGGATTGTACTTGCATATTCCTATTTGTCTCATATCTGAAGTCAGGAATATCAAAGACACTGTATGAGACTTCATTTAGATCAAACATAAATTATCTGAGAGCTTTTTAGTAAAGTATTGATTTTTGTGGAACTTAGAACTTTTTCCTGATTTTGTCTTCCCCACCAGCTACTATACAGTGGATGCCAAAGGTCATTCAGCAGGATGCATGAGGAGGATGACCTAGGGAGCAGAAAAAGGCCACTAAATTAAAGAGACCATTCCCTAATAATTTTGGTCATTCAAAGTGGACAAACATCACATCCAAAGATGTAGGAATCCATTGCAGCTCTAGTGCTTCATTCAATACCCAGCAATTCCTCATTGGCACTTCTTAAACTGCTTTAGAAAAGGGAAGAACATTCAGTCTGAGTGGAGAAGGGTGATGGTGAGCTGGGCTTCCTACCTTCACGAGGAAGAAGAGCAGGATGATGACGAAGACACTGACTTTAGGATGGATCCAGGCAGCAGATTTCCCTAGGATCTGGGTGTCCCCAGAGTGTTTGATCCAGGTATAATTATCAAAGAGAGTGCTGATGGCTTCCCGTGGCATCAACTAAACAGCAAAAAAACCAGGTATGAGTCATGAGATTAGATGGAGTAAATATTCTATCTCTGTTACAAGGAAGTGGAGGAGATTTTTACTGTGGTGATTCATAACTACAAGATTTAATTAACATTTTTAATCTTCAGGAAGAGACAAAACTTTACTCAAACAGATGAAAAGACAACTACTTTTACACATGGTAACATCTTCCTTATTATTTGATAGAAGAGTGGACCTTTTTCAAGTTTTCTATGAAGGAGGTAGCAGAGATCATACAGTGCCTCCTCAGTCCAAACTCCTCCCTTTTCCCTGACACAAGGTTATTGGGGCAGAGGATAAGGAGATAACGTTCCCAAGAACCAGACAGTATTGGTAATACACTTTCCTGTCTCACCTCTCCTGCCATGAACTGCCCAAATCCATGAGGAAATGTCACAGACGCTATACAGAAGGTTATAACCGCAGGGTATATCAGTCGGCTGGAAAGAAAGAAAGTTATTACAGTGTGACCTCACATTCTGTTCTTGTAGCACCATCACTTCAAGGCTATTTCTGTGAAGCCTCTCTGTATCCATTGCTTTGGAGTGCTGTCACCAGCAGTTTAATGCCCTGCTTCTCTTATCATCATAATTCATAGAGTTCACCTGTCAGCAAAACCCTTTTTCCCATCAGAATTAATATCATAGGAGGGATGGAGGAAGGGTGGGATGTACAACACACACAAGCTTGAACATTTGGAGGAATGTGTGTTTGCAGTGATGTGTTGACCTATTGTCAAAAGCCACTGCTTTTCTCATTTGTCCTGATTATGACAGTCTTGCTTCTTCACCCCCCATGCAATATATCCTGTCCTAGTGGATTTAAATGTAGGGGTTTCTCATACATTTCTGCAGGCACCCCCTGGTGCATTAATTCTTGTGGAGAAAACTGCTTCTCCTTCCACTGAATTGCTGACTTGTCCCAGTTTAGGGGAAGGTGTCCTTGGTAGCCAGTGGGGTCTAGCAGTGCCAGGCCAGTGGGACACAGCAGGAGAGAGGCTGAAGCCATCTTCTGTGTCCAGTCCCAGGGTGGGTGAGGGGTAAACTGTGATGCTTCACAAGCACTGAGACAACATCAGCCTAAACTGCTTCCAATGCTGGACTAATCTTGTCATGTGTCCCTTGGCAAGTTACTGTTTCCTACAGGAAGCGTTGGCTGAGATTCAGGAAGACAAAATATAACCTTTAATTTGTTTCAGTCTAAGGACCTAAAAAATTCTGAGGAATCAGTAAAAGTAGATTCCCACTTTTCAGGCTTTGCTCTACTTCTCTATTAACTTGATTTGATCGCCCTGCTGCTGCTTGTGGGTAAGGCTACATGATGAAGAAAGACAATTTTTCTTCCACATAAGAAAGTAAGTTAATTTGAACTTCTGTTTATCTAGTGGTTTTCTTCTGGTCAGGCCTGCAACTTGATAAGAAATAAAGTCCTCCATCCATCTCAACTTCAAAAATTCTCATAGTATCAGATTTTTTCTGTAAAGAGACTGAAGACATTTACAGCTAGCCACCATTTCTTGTTCGTTATAAACTTTGGAGGTTAGGACTCTAATAGAGAGGGGAAAACAGTATCTTCGAGTGTCCTGTAAAAACTTTATTGTCAAGACTTTTATTTTATTTTGCATTTCTCTTCCATGCTGCATTTCACACCATTTGGTTACTATCAGTTTCAGCTTTTGGTTCACAAGAATGGAGCACATTCCTTACATTTTGGATAACATTGTGATTAAAATACAAATATATATTTTAAAAATGTGGTTAGATTTCAGCAGTATTTAATTTTCCTGAAATATAAATAATGTTGAAAATTTCACTGATCTTAAAAAACCCAAACCAACCATAAACAGCATGATT